ACCGTTTTGCACAGCAAGTATTTAAATGGTTTATTATATTAGCATGTTTTTAAAATGGCTAAGATTTTCATATTTTTTATATTTTAAGATTGACAGTCTGGGACAGCAAAAAAAGGAAGAGCAAAACAATACATTTTAAAGAAGGGATTTAAAAAGCTTTCAAGACTGTTTTAATGTGCCCTCCATAAAACAAAAATAAAAAAAATAAAAACTCATGGTTTTACAAACCAGGGTGTATTCCAAGCACCAGGATGACACCTAGAACAGCAGCGATTACTGTGGTGGACATGTAGTACACCATTGCTCTGGAGCCCATTCTTCCACTGGAGCGAGCATCCAGACCGGCCAGGCCTACGAGACAGAGGGAAGAAGAGAGAGATCTTGTATCAACAAAGATAAATGGCTTGTTTTCTTGTGCTGTAGACACTCTGTTTCCATTTAACAATCATAAAGCACAACACATGTGTTTGAGGACTGACCTGTGATGAGACTGGAGATGATGAGGGGCAGGATGAGCATCTTCAGCATTCTCATTAGGATGTCTCCTGGAAAGGAAACCAGTATGAGAGTGTTTGTGTCCAGATCAGGAACATAACGCAGCATCATGCCCAGCACTGTGCCCGCTATAACACCTGCAAGAGTGTCGATTACACCGGTTATGTTCAGCCTGCTTATGAAAAGGTGTATGGATCACAGCATTATAGGATTCTGGGTATTTCACATGCACCACTGCATAACTGTCCTGTATCTGCAACATCTCAAACTACTGTTGTATAAACAGTGTTGCTACATTGGGGCCAAAAAATTTGCTGAGAACTCGCTAGTTTGGTATTTGTCTGCGGTTTGACCGATGATCACAGTAATGAAACCACAGACAAGATTTATCTTTTATATTTTTAAGAATGTAAGTATAAGGAAAGCTAAAGGCTGACAAACTAGGATTAAATTGGTCATATCATACATTTTTGGGCCCAAAATAGAAGTATTTAAGTTTTCATGACCATTTTTTTCCTCTTTCCAGCTGCTGTGCCTTTAATAAACACCCCCTTTTTCATTCAAAATTAACTAATCTCTTCCCATATATTATCAACGATAATATCGTCTCTCCTGCTTTGTCCTTATCACCTCACTGTGACTAGCTAGACTTTATTAGTTTATGACCACCAAACGGGCAATAAAATCATGAACTGGCAAACTTATTTAATCTTCTGAACTTCCAAGGAAGGAGACACATACAGATCTGAAGTTGTATACAAACACTCCCACACATTCATGCACGCACACACAAGCACACCTAGCACGGTGAGGGCAAGGAGCAGGTTGCGTGAAAACCAGCCGCATTGTTGATTTGTGTTGTCTTTTAATTCTGCTTCCACTCCATCGTCCATCTGCAATGCTGCACTTGTCTGGTTGCCCAAATGCTTATTCGTCATTCTATCTGTATAAGTCAAGAGAAAGAAATAAAGCAAGAAAGTCCAAGGTAAATAAACAGTGATGATTACTTAAATATCCTACCCTTCACTTTATGCCTCCAGTGAACTCAGGCCTTTACGAAAGGGGTCAGGGGGTCAAGGTTTTGCTGGTTAGCACAGCCCAATAAGTCCCTGCTGGTTGATACCAAAATGACTCCATTCTACTGCCAAAAAGCATCTTTCTCCATTGACTTATTGTAGTATGTAGACTACTGCAGGGCCGGTTCTAGACATTTGGAGGCCCTAGGCAAAATTAATGTTGGTGGCCCCCAGCCCCAATAAAAAGCACTTGAAACAAAAATGATTCCTAACCTTTTTATTTATTATATTTATATTTTATTTTACATTTTGTGTATTTTTACTTATACAGTACTGGTCAAAAGTTTGGACACATTACTATTTTTAATGTTTTTGAGAGAATGTTTTTGAAGAAATGTCCATTACAGCTTATAATCATTGAGTCTGCATTTATTTGATCAGAAATACAGAAAGAACTATAATATTGTGAAATATTTTTACAGTTTAAAATTAGGCCTGAACAATTAATTGCATTTGTGATAATATCGCGATATGAAAAAAAGCGATTTTTCAATCGCAGAGGCTGCGATTACGCTCGGTCACGTGACACGCGAGAGTAAAGAGATGTGTTCGACTTGAAGATCGATCG